CCCGCATGAAGAGGACACAAAGACGTCACACGCAGCGAGCGTGCTCAGTATTTGCGGAAGTAAACATGGATGGTAGCAGTGGAGCGTATCCACCACTCCCCCGCTGCTGCTGTCGATGGTGGAAACAGAGCTGTGACTGCTAACTAAACTGGCATCAACTGCCTGTGCTTTACGGCCACTTCCACCCCGGGGATGCGCTCCCACAGGGTGGAATTGGCCGGAACGTGCAGAATCGCACCGGTCAATTAGGCGTGAAATCCAGCGATGCGTAGTGTTCTAACAATACACTACTGATTATACTGATTACTATAGACAATCAATATTAACAACAAATGACCCTTCAAGCATCAAGCCCTCCTTGTATCTCAACCTCTGTCTTGACAATCCAACAGCCTTGTTAGCCGACATAAAAGAAGGTTTTACATTGTGTCGGATTATCGAGTCACGACTGTACTGCATTTTGGCTAGATAGCATTCCTTTCAAACTCTTCGGCAGGTTTTAGGGTTCAGATGGTTTATAATTACTGCATTACATGCTAGCTCTCTGACATGGCTTCCTGTACACTTACATTTGTACAAAGCTATCAATAGGCTTGCATTAATCCATTTGTTTTTGTCACAGTGTAAAGTTGTTCTGCCAAATGTTTTAGCAATCAGTTCCCTAATGTCTCATCAAGAGGACACCGAGCAGTGTTGGCATTACTTATGGTGAAGTTGTGTTTTCGACAACCTGACAAATGATCTTCAGCAGCCAAATGCTCTTCTGTGTTTAATTAGCTGGTTGCAAACTTTGTCTCTCTTCTATTTGGTGGCTGGCAGGAAACATATAGTTGAGCCACAGCTTCATGCTGTGGCCAGAAACGGGCAGATAAAAAGAAGCTAAAATGCACTTCTGCAGCCCAGTGATAATCAAGATAATGATCCTCTTAATGGCGTGTCTAAAGTTTAGCAACAGGTGCTAATGTACACTTTTAAATACAAGTACATGAACCTGTAAACACTGACCTATACACACTGAGAAATTACAAGCAAGCGTACATCTCAGTTAAACCACTGCAGTGAGTCTCCTTCAGCTCTCACTGGATACTGCAATTATTGTCATCGTTTCACTTTTGTGTCAATGAGGTCCACGTTAGTGCCTTTTGGGATTTACATTCGAGAATATAAACGTGAATTTAAATGTAAATCAGCCTGAAGGAGATCAATTCCGCTCCCTGTAACACACACACACACACACACACACACACACACACACACACACAGAATACAGGCAGAGATGGAAATGGTTCATTTCTGCTACAGGTCAGGAGGCTAAGACATCAACCCACACATAAACCCATATATTAGTATACCCCACCCCCCCACCCACCACTGAGGCATAAATAAGCCTTTATTTCACATACAAAACATGTGGGCTAGTTATTACTGTACCACATACATATACCCTACAGGGCATGCAATATGCATTGTCTCCTATGCTTAGTATTCCTCAGTATTCTTGTGTACTCTTGTTCCAGTGTTTATAGTCACTTCAGTATTCAGATCCTTTCATTTTTGGCATACTTTATAGTGATATCGATTTAATTTGAAGAACAAAGTTGATACTTTCCCCATCAATCTACACTCAGTATCCTGAAGGACAAAGGCAAAGCATATTTTTTTTATATTCCCATTACTTATCATTGACGTTATTAACAAAAATTGGAATTGTTGTTTTTGGGAATTAATTCAACGAGTTTTTCCTATTTACTTTTTATGTATTTAGAATTTTTATATTAATCATATATAAAAATATTTATAGAATAGCCAATTTATATTGTGTTACATTAATTGACTGGTTTAACAACAACAGCAACCATTAAATGGTTCCATGAAAAGACAAGGGATAAGTGCAGTTGACTCCGAGCCATGTAGAGAGGGTTAAAGTTAGGTAATGAAGCATCAGCTAATTTGAGTTTTAATTTGAATGTTTTGATAACACTACACAGTCAGTGTCAAGGATGAAGTAGTTTGAATGAGTAGCTGGTCGATGATTTTGAAAAGCTGCAAGCAGCAACGCTAGAGGCCAAGCAATCAGCTTCTTTTGAATGGCCACTGCACTAAAGTTTGGCAGTGTGTTCGTGTGTGTGTGTGTGTGTGTGTGTATTTGCGTGCGTGGGCTTGTATGTATGGAGATGAAAAGATTCACAGAGGAAAAGATGCACGAACATAACCTTTTGATTATTTAGTTAAAAAACAAAAGTTAGCAAGATCAGCCATAGTGATGGGAATCTTTGAAAATCCCATATTTAAATTCTGACTCTTTGTGTCTCAGAATCGATTGTCTTGATGCAGTGAAAGGCAGGATTCAGACTCTTCCTCCAATTTACTGTGTGCCAAACCATTCACTCCTGTCCTTTGCCTACTGAGCTGCAAATGAAACATAATTAAGAGTTCAGCTAACTGGTTTTGATGAAGGTCATTGTCTAACTAAAACAAAGCTGAAAAAGGTGCTCGAGAGTATGACGGTTTTAATCATTTTAATTATTCATGTAGGTTAACGGCATTCGTTCTGACATATCTTAAGTCTTCTTTCTGTGTAGCGATAATGAAAATGAAAGTATAATTTATTAAGCTACATCACTGGTTACCATAACTCTCTGCCAGGAAAAGATGAAGCCATCATTACCTAAAACACTGATCTAGCAAAAGTCTTTTAAGTCTTTAAATTACTTTGCCTAATCAGAGTTGGTAAAAGTTTTGTGCAGTGTGAATGAATCAGCTAGACTTCAACTGCTGGAGTTTTCTGCTTACGATATACTTTACTTTCTTTTTGCAAATTTAATTATTAAATGTCTGTGTAGATTGTCAGTCATCCAGGTCATGGTAATCCTGAATGCTTCAATAGATGGCAACTGGACGACTCTGTTTTGTTTCTTGAAGACATTTCACCCCTCATCCAAGAGGCTTCTTTATTTCTAAAGAAACAAAAAAAGTGAAATACAATTGCATTCTGCTGAAACACTTAAGATTACCTTGACCTGAATGACTGACAGTCTGCATTCTCGACATTCAACAATAAAGATAATTAATAATAGTAATAATTAAATTCTGAAGTTAAAAATGTGCCGAAGACAAACTTCAAGGTAACTCAGTTATGGGGCATAAGTTTGTCCAGCATACAGACAGTGTGTCCAGCATTGTGTTTAAATTAAAGGAAGTTTAAATGGATCACCAATGAATGGAATGATTTTGGTAAGGTATGAAACTTTTTTCTTTTTTTAAATTGAAACTGGACACTTCATAGTCCTCCTCATAGAATTCCCTATACAGATGGTAGTCATGAGTGATTTGTCCATTTTAGCCTTACATGGCTTCATGCTTGGTTATGTCTGTGGATCAGCCAACCACTGTGGTTCAGACTGAAATATCTCAACAACTACCGGATAGAGTGCCATTGAATTTAGTATTTCTTTTTTTTTTTTATGTACTTCATGGACCCTAGAGAATAAATCCCTCTGACTTAGATGATTCCCTGACTTTTCCTTTAGTCCCACCATAAAACAGGTTTTTGCAATGCCAATACCAGAGAAGGAATTTTACTGACTGTAGTGCTTCTTATGATTGAAAGTTTTATTTCATCCAATGAAATAAAGTTATTTTGGAATTTGCACAACATTTTCTGTCATCGCCTGATGTTTCCTGTAGCACCACGTTGAGACTCATATCAGGGCAGCACGAGGTGCTGCAAATGTTTATAGGAAAGGTCTCTTCAGACCAACAATGTCTACTTCAGACATTCATGTTCCCGTCAGGATGTTTCAAGATGAACATTGTTGTTCCTCATTGACTTTTCCTAGAATGCCATTGCTAGGCCAGTTTTTTTTTTCAATACATTGCCTTGTGGTTTTATGGTAAAATGGTAGCATGGCATAGCATTTTCTTTGGGTGTTTCAAAGCACCAGTAGGATTGTACAGACTTATTTTTTATCAAATTTATAGTTTTACTCCCAAAAGGTAGGGTACACTGCCATTTTCATCAACAGATTAAACCCTCTAAAACCACTTGCCTTGATGAGCTGTTAAAACAACAGCAACAAAAAATAGTTAACATAATTACTGGGGCTGGACCCGAACAGCTGAATAGCCGACTATTCGTTTGCTGTGCTGGAATCGGGATATCAATTTTGATCTCTGAATATTCTCCTCCCTGCCACTGCTGATGGTGGAAACGCCCGCTCACTCCTGCCCCGTCGGACCGAATGCTCAGCAACACCCCCCTAATTTTAGATGTGACCCAACCCAAACAACAAAACATCAATTTGTGGTCTTTTAGTGATTATATGAGCTGACTATCCACTAAGACCCAGGATTCCCATCTTTTGCAATCAGTTTTGTCAACCCCAGCACTGCCCTGTGTGTAGGTATGAGTGTGCATTAGAAAGATAAGCCAGTGCATACATGTGTGGGTTTCTGTGTGTGGTCTCACGGTGCAGACCGATCAAGGTCAAGTTGGATTAACAAGAAACACACATTTACACGCACACACATACAAACAAAGTTGCCTTGTAGCTTGTTAACACACCACAACCTCACAGTGCTTGTCCTTGGGTCTACAGATTTTTTCTTTCTTTCCTTTTTACCACAGTAGCTGCACATCTTTTACCATCACTGAAAGAAAATGCCATCAATAGGTCCCAATTATTGCTACAGACCAGAAAGCAAAAAACCTGTTGGACTGAATAACAAAACTTGAAAATAAACTACAGCCAAATTCAATCAAACTTTTCTGATGACTTTATGCACCTGTGAATAGCCTCCAGACTTTTTTCATCTCCTTTTATCTTTCAGTGTTTTTTATTTATTCTTTTTATTGTACCTATTCTTTGTATTGTTTTACAGTTGCAGCACTCGAAGCCTACTGTAGTTCATCAAAAGCCTAGTTGTGATATAAATTATCAGATTGTGTGTGAAGGTGAATGATGTACTTCTCCCTCCTCTATATCTGTGTTTGTCCACAGCACAAAGACCCCCAAGCAGGCAGTGTTTGCTGGAAGCATGCAGCTCCTCGCTGGAGTCAAGCTGTGCACAGGCAGAGTTCTCACCAACCACCCCCATTATGAAGATAAAGACCTGCGAGAGAGGACCAGACAGGTACTGTAGGCTGCAATATAACCAAACCACCAGAGGGGCTGCAAGATAACACAAGTTGAAACATTTTCAGCTCGACCAGATGTGCTTTTTATCTGCTTAAATTTGAGGTGCCCAGAGTGAATTATTATGTATCACTCTATTATTTGTATTTCTACCGCAACTAGGTGAGTTATGATGGTTGTAGTTACCCCAGTTGGTAGTTCTTTGTAGTCGTTGCTTTTAAATATCAAATCTTGCTGTGAAATGCAGCTGAGGAACAAATCAAATCAAATTTGTTCTTTATATTCACAAAAATATTTTCCGTCTTCCATTAAAAGCTGGTTTGAATTGATCTGAGCTACTAAAATGGGCATTTTGCATCAGATTTAGAAAAGAAAAAAAATAAAACACACAAAAAATTATCCATCCATCAGCTATACCCTCTTTATACTGTAGAGCACATATGTCAAACTCAAGGCCCACAGGCCAAATCCGGCCGTCACGATTGTAAGTGGCCCGCGAGAGATGTGTGTTTCCTAATCTGATTAATTAATGGGATTTACCTGATATAATATAACGTAATATAATGTTAGAATTTATGGTAAAATAACACAGCAGTGTGCCTACACAGGGCTCCAGACTGAGACCAAAATGTTCTCATATGTGACCAGTTATGAGCGTGTGCAAGCTAAAGTTTCATGTGGTCACATTGTGAGAGTGAACGATGATCATCAGGCTGATCTGGTTCCTTCCATCAGCACAGGTAGCTGCTGCTCCAGTTGTTGTGGTTGGAAATAGTCATATTTCTTCCACATTGACTCAATCTCTCTCTGCCTGACATGTAAAACAGAACACTGTGTACCAATGACAGAACGATACATAGACGACCATGTTTAAAAAAAAAAAAAAAAGTGAGGTGAGAAAGGGAGAGGTCTGACACACCTGATGGTAAAAGTGTTCAGGTGCAGGCAGACAGATCTCTACTGAGTCAGTTAGGAAGAAAAAATAGCCCCACATTCAATCTGCAAGATTCACATTTTAACAATGATCATGATTTTGACTCTATAAACATGATGGCCAGTGGTATGGACATTTACAATGTGCTCAGCTCGTAGAAAAGTGTGTTCATACAAAAAAATAATAAAAAATCTGCTTAGAAACTCTGCTCATAGAAATCTTTTCATTGTGGGCAAATTTGTGTAGAATGCACTTTCCACTGTTTTCCAACAAATGTTTGGTCGCTCACCTGTCAGAGGAGCTGCACTGCAGACACCTGGTAGCTTCTACCAGAGCAGCATGTGAGGCGTTCAGGGAACATCTGTAAAATGCACCATCAACTCATACACATGTTCAGCAAGTGTTTAGCCTGTGTCCAGTTAATGACTGATGTCAGAAGAGGATTGGTGACAAAATAAATATATTTTCAGATTGAAACATTTTACAAATATCAAGTCTTGTATCACTGAAAATCATTACAACATAACTAAGTTATACAAAAACAACTATTCATCAGCATACAGCATTAATAGCTGTGGCAATGCTGATCCAACAAAATAAGCGGTGAGGCACCAAATCATTAGCTGGTGCGACCAACAAAGAAAGTTGGTAGCACCAGTGCTACCATTGGAAAAGTTAGTCTGAAGCCCTGCTACATATATTTTACATGCACAATAGTTGTACATATAATAAATAACAATCAAATGCAGAGACAACTATTTAACAACATGTAAAGGAGTCATTACATTTATGCAGTCTTTCAATTACAACTGGCCCTTTGAGGGCAAACATAGTGCTTATGTGGCCTGAAATGAAAATGAGTTTGACACCCCTGCTGTACAGGGTCAGAAGGGTCTGGAGCCTATCCGAGCTGACATAGGGCAAGAGGTGGGGTCTGCTCTGAACAGATCTCATTGCAGGGCTTTTCTTGCATAGGCAGACCTATCTCTAAAGTACAGTGTTAGGGCTTGAGAATGGTTTGGTTGCACTTCATTATCATTTTGATGTAAGGGACAAAACAATCTGATGTGTGTCTTTAAATCAGAAACAATGGTCCTGACCCAGGGTGTAGCTACAGTGCCACCCTGAAGAGTAATGATGGGGTAATGGTTATAGCAGAACATTTGCTTTCAGCCAGGCAAGCACTGTCATTAAAACTGCTTATTGCAAATCCAAATCATTCAACAAAACGTCCTATTTTCAGCAGACAAGTTGTTGTTTGGAGGTTATTGTTTTCATAGTGACGGGGATTTAGGAAAAAGGTTACATGCAGATAGTGGAAGAGGAGAAAGCTGCATGACATGCATTGTGGAGATGGTAGACACACCCAAAGTCTAGATCGGGTAAGTCAGACTATCACAGCGAGCACAAAGACACTGACAACAATTCATGTTCACACTCAGTCATTTTAGAATCAACCTGCTTTTGAACTGTGGGAGGAAGCCAGAGCACCCAAAGAAAGCCCACACAGGCATAGCAGAACCACAGCTAAGCAGCAGGTTTAAACCCGGCCTGCTATCAGGCGATTGTGCTGACCATTGTATCACCTGCTAAAAAGCAGTGAAACTGAAAATTTCAAATTCAAGCCTAAAATACTACGAGAGGACTATGATATATCTGTACTGAAACTAATCACGAGTTAACTCTACTGCTACACCCACAGGAAAACCAAATTGAAATTCCTCCGTTGTATTACTTGGGAACCAGATTCAAATGTAGAATTTTCAGACTTTTTCGAGAACTTGCCTTCCTTCTCAGAGAAATGTGAATTGTGCAGCTGCAGCTGAAGCCACTCTGCCTCACCCATCCATCTCACTCCGCTCTGTGCTAATGTCTTGCGTGAGAGACCAGGGAATTGTCTGTAGATGGAGGCCAGTGACCTGCAGTGATTGTGTGAATGAATATAGGATCAGAAGATGCACAGAGTACAATGTGCATCCATTAGGCCCCACGGAATGGTAATGTAGGAAAAATAGAGGCTAAAAGTGCTGCGTTCCAGTAAAGGAGAGATGAATGGTGCTGCTTTCACGTGAGTACATCTTAGTAATGTATGTAAGGAATACTGTAGAAGCATTGTTTTTTTTGTTTTAATTAATTCATTTTCCATTAAAGTAGCTACATAAGGTCTTACTGTTATTAATAAAGGAAGCAAATCTTCAAGACAAGCAGAGTAAATGTGATTTTTTCATTTTAATAGTTTATGTTACAAAATCAATCTCGTCTCAAATGCTATGAAATGTCTTCAAGTTCATACTTCTTTTTTCATCCATGTGAATTGTGTTTGTATTGTGTCTCCATTGCATTGTTTCTCCCTTTGACCTTCACACGCCTGTCGTTATTACACGTGTTGTCGTCGCTCACATATTGGCTGAATTAAGACTGTAAAATACAAAACAAGACATCGGGAACGCTTAATGCAAAACTTACCTCGACTGAAACATGCTTTAAATGACATACAGCTGATGAGGAAATTATTTTAACTGTTATGCATTTTTTGTCTGCTTCTGCATTCTGTGTGCGTCTCCTTCACAATGAGCAGGGTGTAATGTGTGGGTCATCTCTTGGGTAGCTGAGCCTATGTTTTGCCTCCCAGCGGGAATTCAGCCAAGCTGAGCCTGTGGCGAACCCAGAGCCTCGTGTTGAGCTCATTAATGATCCACGACACTGGTGCAGACCTTCTAGGCTCTGAGTGTGTCTGTGCGCGCATGTGTGTACGTGTGCACGCGTGTGTGTGTGTGTGTGTGCGTGTGTGTGGTATTGAGGAAGAATAAAAGCCTAAATTCATTTTCAAACATTTGTAAGAACCTTAATGATGTTCCCACTTCTCTTCTGGGCATAATTTGTGTGCCACTTGAAAATAATTCATTAGTGTACAAGGAATACAGTCATTTTTACCTGTTTTTCTCTCTCCTGAATTAATTCACATGACCAGCAGGCATACTTCCTGAATCGGATGGCAACAGTTAAAAAGTTTTATCTCTGTGTGTTAGATTGTATAAACTACAGCACAAATACACCCGTGCTGCTTAAAAATGCATGTATGGGGTTTCCTAAATAGAAATGGTGGTATGTGCTATCTCTAGGGAATCTTGGATCATGGTGTTTAATGCCCTTTAGAAGCAAATTACCAGTAGATGAACATTTTTGGCAGATGTTTTTGGTAGTTTAGTAATTGGGATGTAAGTTCAAAACAAAGCAACAAGGGCTGCAAGGTAGATTGGTGGTTAGCACCATTGCCTCGCAGCAAGAAGGCCACCGGTTCGCATCCTGGTGAGGACACCTGGGATCTTTCTGCATGGAGTTTGCATGTTCTCCCCGTGCAGCGTGGGTTCTCTCCGGGTTCTCTGGCTTCCTCCCACAGTCCAAAAACATGTTGACGTTAATTGGTGATTCTAAAATTGTCCATAGGTGTGAATGTGAGCGTGCTTGGTTGTCTGTCTCTAAGTGTAGCCCTGTGATAGACTGATGACCTGTCCAGGGTGTCCCCTGCCTTCACCCTAAGTCAGCTGGGATAGGCTCCAGCCCCCCTGTGACCCTAGTGAGGATTAAGCGGTGTATAGATAATGGATGGATGGACAAAGCAGTGAGACACAAATTGAGATCGGCATTTTGATTTTATTTAAAACTATTTAGATACATGTATATTTTGTTATTTTGTTGTTAGCATTTTGAACCATGAAAGATTTAAAGGCATTTTATGTTTCAACAGAAACTAATACCAAACTGACACCATTTATAAAAGCCAAAAGCTGTAAAAACACAAAGAATTGTTGGATTTTCAACTTTCTGTTCTTGAATCTGTGACGTGCTGTTCGTTGGGAAACTTAACTGAATTGTGATATTTTATTAAAGTCACTTTATTTTACATGCCTCATTTAAAAATTCACCGAAAATGAACCGATTGCATCAGATTCTACAAAAGACTAAAACTTGTAATTGTGAAGCCATTCAACCATGAAGCTATTCAAGACATTCAACTTCATTATTTTCTTTTTTATGAGTAATAGCATTTTAATTTTTAACATGTTTAACAAGTCTTTGCTT